TATATATTTAATTCAGTTGGAGGTTTACATTTTTTGTTGCGCTGTAACTTTGACATCTCTAAAATTCCTTTAACTTTATCTTGTTTTCATAAACAAGCTTTTATAAGTTGGTCGCTTATATATAATTATAACTTCTCTCCACATAGTTATTTTATTTGGAACAATAAAAATATTAGATATAAAAATAAATCTCTTTTTTTTTCACAATTGGTTTAATAGAGATATACTTTTAGTTAGTCAGCTTTTAGACAATCATGGTGTCCTTTTTTCTTATGAACAATTTATGAAAGAATTTTCTTTTCCTGTCCCCCCAAGAGAATATGCCATTGTTTTTGGTGCAATTCCTGATTGTATTATACCTTTAGTCAATTATGGCCCTAAAGGTTGTTTAGTCTCTCCAATTTTTGACAACACTAACTTATTCGTTAACCAAAGTCTTTTCAATACCATGTCAAACAAAGATATTCGTTCAATTATTAACAGATCTCAGATTTCTCTACCTGCTTGTGTAAGTTTTTGGAATAACATATTTAGTGATATTGAATGGGAAGAGTTTTGGCTTCTTCGACAGAAACTCTTCCTGTCTAATAAAGTTGTTGAGGTATCTATTAAAATGGTCCATAATTGCTACCCGGTAAATTACAAACTTGCTAAATTTAATAATAGTATTTCCCCCAATTGCTCTTTTTGTCTTAAATCTGAAGAAACAATCAATCATCTATTTTGGGATTGTGTTTATTGTAAAGTATTTTGGGTTGATTTTTCTAATTTTGTTAACAAGTATTTACTTCCAACCTTCTGTATAACTCCCAAATTTGTGTTTTTTGGTTACTCTTTGAATATAGGCTCTTCTCGCTGTAATTATATTATTAATCTACTTTTATTTCTTGCAAAATTTTATATTCATAAATGTAAATGGTCAAAGAAAACCCCTTACTTTTTTATTTTCAGAAAAGATTTTGATGTGTATGTGAACTCTATAAGAAATTCTAATAACCCCATCGCAATCAAGACTTTTTTTTTGTGTAAATCCTGTAAGTTAATATAATACGCTTTGGTTTATTGTATATAACCCTCATTGTTGTTTGTTGTTTGCTGTTTTTTTCTCTTTATTGTTGTAGATGTGATTGTTGAATGCATAGTAATAATAATAAAAAAATTAAAAAAAAAAGTTCGGCTCAATTAACTGATCCGATTCTTTCGAACTGTCCGTTGTAATGAATCGATTCTAAAACCGATTCTATGATTCACTTTTTTTTCGTATTTTTTTGCGGACAGTTCGAAAGAATCGGATCAGTTAATTGAGCCGAACTTCCCATCACTAATTGATATGGCATTTAAAATTCAGTAATCCAGACAAGGGGTGTGCGTCTACACTGCCCTCCAATCAGGACGCGACGTGCGGAGCTAGTGCATTCAAAAGGATGGGGAAGCGTCGCCATTATTCCATCAGAATGCGACAGTTGTCACTACCGAAAATGTTACACATACCGAAAATGTAACTTCCGCTACTACGCATGCGCCCATTCATCATGCATGCGTCCACGAAACCACATTTTCTGGCACTTCATTATTCCGCATGCGTAATGTACACTTCCACAGACCCAATACTGCGCATGTATTCACATTCTGCGGCAGACCGTGATTGCGTGAATCAGGGCGTGGACGTCGTGTATCATCATTCATTGGTCACGTATTGTGAGTTGGGTCATTGATGTTTATATTTGTAGTTCAGCCATCACTTTATTGTGGTATTTTAACCGTATTGCTTTGCCGATTGTAATATTTGCATCTGTGTGCGCGTTGCTTTTGGTGCCTGACTAATCTTACATAAGGTTTTTCCCAATGGTATTGCTGAATATAGATGCCTTTTCTTTAGAATTGGGGTGTATATCAATCTTGTGTACCCATATTGCTTATCAAGGGGCTGTGATATATGTGATATATGTTCTAAAAAAAAATCACACCAAAATAAGTTAAGAACTTTTATTGCACAACATAAACAATGTTTATGTTGTGCGGTTTGGCCCAAGATAAAACAATCGGTCGTCTGTCAGAAACAAATATAATTTGCTTCATTTAGCNCTGCTTCTGGTTTATGTCTTAATATTCATAAATGTGAACTTTTATCTGTAAAAGGTGCTACTGATGTTGACATTTGTGACATTCTAGTCAAATCTGAAGTTAAATATCTAGGTATAATTATATGTAAAGATCAGAAAAGGAGATCTAGGCTTAATTTTGAACCTCTTATATTTTCTGTCCGACGTAAATTAAACTCGGTTACATCGTGATCTCTCAATAACGGGTAGAGTATTGCTTTCTAAAGCAGATGGATTATCTCGGGTTATCTACCCTGCAATGGCAATGGATGTTTCTGTGGAGATTTATAGAACTCTAGACAAAATTATAGTTGATTTTGTTTGGAATTCTAAAACTCATTTAATTAAAAAAAGTGTTATGCTAGCTGATCGGGCTATGGGGGGCTTTGAGTTAGTGGATTTTTCCACTCTTAACAATTCGCTCAAAGTTAAGTGGATAAAGACATTTTTAAACAACCCCACATCCTGTTGGAATTTTATTCCAAATTATATATTTAACCTTCCTATGGTGGTAGGGACAGCACCGACCCGTTTGTAAGTTTAAAATGCATAAAAGCACCACATAGATGTGTACTGCATCAAGACTTTTTGACTTTGTCAGAAACCTCTATTTAAACAGAATAAATTAAACCAAATCATGGCAAGACATGTCCATACATGTAAGGCAAGATAAAACAAATTCAGTTTATTTATATAATTCTCTTGAGGTTTATTTTACCATTATTTTTTATTGAAAATGAGAGGTATGCTGTCTAAAGAAAGGTCCAGAAAACCACACCAAAAATACTAAAACCAATCTTTTCATGGATAAGGAAGCCTAACAAGGTAACCAAGAGGTAAGAAACAAATTGGATGATAATTGTTTTAAAGGTATTTTATGGCTGATTTAAGACACGGGTTGGTACCGATCCGTTTAACGTAAGAGACAGGAACAAAAAGGTAACAAAGGACAAAAGTTACGTTTTTTGTTAATATTTTATTGAAGTGTTATTTTTTGTACACAGTTTCCTTTATTTCATTGTTCATTTCAGTGAATGTTCAGAGCTATGGTGAGGCATCCCTAGTGCCCCCCTTGGTTGGGGTTACATATGAATGTACCTAATTACAGTTTCTGAACAGGTCTTCCAGGATCTTCTCCAAGATGGACTCTTCGGGATCCAGTGCATTCACTAAGGTCTCCTGCTCGACCTGGATGGTAGAATCCACCAAAAATTCCTGTCTCCCTTCGACCTGGGAGATGGGGATGTGTCCAGGGAATTGGGAAACAGGCTGGACATCCCATGCACTGGAAGTCTGAGCTGCTTGGTTGTGCCCAGAGTTCTCCCAGCAGCTGTTGTTTGGGTCCTGGTACGTGTCCAGGTTCCATCCCTCGAAGAAGTCACTCCCTGTTACTGCAGGGAGTGCTGTCTGATCAGGCTGGAACATGTCTCTGATGAGGTCCAGGTACTCCTGGTTCCAGTTCCATTTTGTCTGCGATGGAACAGCAATACATTACTGCTGTTCAGTAAAGCTTCCTGTCACAGCAGTCATCTGTCTGCTTGTCTTAGCAGCCCTTTCTGTATCCCTGTGTCCAGTCTGTTGGTCATTGTCCTGTCTGGTCTCAGTCTGGTCTCCAGCTTCACTGCACCTCTTTCTTTTTAACCCACATCTTGTGCTGCTTCCTTTCACATCATGTCCATAATGTTTCTGGAATTTGAAGGACTTGCAGAATATGAGTTGTTGTCCCCTATGTTACTTCCATCATCCTCTTGTACTTTTCGCGGAAGCTATTGGGATTTCTTGACCTTTGGCGACGCTTGGCCTCATAGGTCACTTTAGGGCAGTTGCTTAGATAATAGTTGTGCAACTTATTGAATCTTTCCATTTTTTCAAAAACAACAGAAGGGGACATAAATGGGGGTGTCGGACCCGTAACCAGCTGAGATGAGGGGGCTGCGGCCTGTGCTGGAACCTGATACAGAGGGGTGGGATGAACCATGGCTGGAGCTGAAGATGGATGTGGGGCTGGACTTACAGGGGAGACAACGCGTGGTGATGGAGGAGGAGAGTCTGTAAAAAAAGATGGAGATGGAGAGGAGACAAAAGAGGATGGGACTGGTGATGGAACTAAGATGGAAGTGGAGGAGAAGGCCGGTGAGCAGGGCTCAGGCTCAGGCTCTGACATAGATGGAGTGCGACACAGGATGGTTGCAACCTCGTCGTCACTCTGGGTGAGATCCTCACACGGGATCTTCTCACCCACCTGGATTGAGTCGAAGGGGTTTCCCAATTTGCTGCCACGGAAGCGTAGTAGATTCTGTAATTTTTTTGGAAATAGCCCCTTTTGTTTTGTTTTTGTCCTGAGCCCTGCTGACCCCTGCTGGTAGCCACCGAGGTGGGAGTAGATCCAGTGGCGACAGACATGGTCATGGAGCTGGGTGCCGGCGGCCCAGTGCGGCATTTCCTCCGACGGCCTCCACTACTGGTACTGGTTTGTCCTTTGGGATTAAAAAGACAGGGGACAGCACATTTAATTAAAGTGAATCCTTATGTCACTCTACAACAAAACTACATCACATACA